ACAAAATTGATTCAGTTTTTGCTGTGTTCTTCGTTTTATATTTCAATAGTCATCATTAATAAGAATGTTTGTATTTACTAAAAACTTGAAAGAATTACAAGTTGTAGTTTACTGTGTTCTTCTTTTACATATGTGTGTTAGAATTGTGAGATTGTTGTTTTGTTACATTTTGGTTTTGCCATAAACATTTATATGTTAGTTTCCACTGTAGGATTTAAGAATTATTTTCCTTATCATACAATTGCATATCTGGTTGGTATTTGTTTCAATTAAAGAGCATGTGGTTGATTCATTATATTGTAAATATAGGGTCAATGTGCGTCTATGTTTGTATGACGGTTTTTGTGCGAGAGGCAATGGACAGTGTATCAGTTGTCATTCATTACATTTTGTATGCTGAGAATTAACTTTGTTTTGTTACATTTTGTATGATGAAAAATAACTTTGATTTGGTATTCATGTGTGAATAGTCTATTTCTAGGACTTTGCTTTATTATTAGTTCTATCTTTAGTTCTTAGTAAGTAATTTTAATACAATTGTTGTTATTTTTTTTTTTTTGGGCTTGATCATGATATTTGATTTAAGGATCATTTACATCAATTCTTTCTCATGTATGTTGTACATAATTTTTAAAAGTTGTAAATAATTTTGAATTATCGCTTCATTTTATTAAATCAGAATCTTAATCCATGGTTTCGACGCTCGTCTTTCAATACGAAGACACTTCTAAACTTTTCTACCTAAAACCTCGGTCCTGTACCGAGTGCATTTTCAAATCTTTTCATAACAAAAACTTGAATGGTCGTGGAGTGGTTAGGCGTAGGCCTTCTCCTATCCCGAGTGCTGACGTTTACCGTAGGGTTCTCTGTCGCAAAGCACTTACCATTCAAAACCAAAAACATTTTAATAAGAGAACGAAGTTCTCTTTGCATTGAACTAAAGAGAGAGGATTGGGTGTAGACCTCTTCTTCTTCGAGCGTTGGGATGCCCACTGTAGTGAGGGTGGTTTCGGTGCTCGTCTTTCAATACGAAGACGCCTTGTTCGCCACGCCCTTTTATAACAAAAACTTTGAGATAAAGAATTGGGTACTACCCGTAGGGGTTACTATCCGAGGACCTGTCTCGCCCCCTAAAAAACAATCTCCAATCAATCAAACGTGGCTTCTTGCCTCGCTTGGCGAAAACTAATCAATCTTTCAAAAAGGATATGATACGTCCGTTCTACCGCAAACAGGTAACGCCTAAGTCTCCAACGAGCGAGCAGCAAAACACCTAACTGCTAGAATGCGCACGATAGCATCATCCGTAAAAACATCAACAAACCGTAGGCCGAACTACGGCTGCTCTGATTCTTTACTTCGTTCAAGTAAAGATACGTAGGCACAAGGGCCACAATCCTTGTCGAGCACATTCCCCCTATATCTGTAGTTTCCCGAACTACGTCGACTCTGATTTTCTCATATCTGTTGAGAATACGTAGGCCTAGGACCGCGAAGTCCTACCGAGTCCGTTCTCTCCCTTCTTCCCCCCGTTACTTCTCTTTCACCGTTTCTAAACCCTTCTTTCTATCCCTTGGAACACTCTCTTTATAGCATAATATTTAAGCAAATATCTTCACACATCGACAAACAAAAGGTTCCCATCGAGTACGATGGATGCGAGGGGTGCTAATACCTTCCCTTCGTATAACCGGCTTCCGAACCCGTTCATGGTTGTGAGACCATCTTATACATTTCTTTCTTAAGGTTTTCTCGATATTTTCCTTTCCCCTCATGGGATAAATAAAGTTCGGTGGCGACTCTTCTGTCTATCTTTTCCGCCTCTCCGTCGTTGCGCGATGCATTTTTCGAGTAGCGACAAAGCCCAATGGAGATATGCAAGCTATGTGGAAAACATATCACCATAAGCTAACTAAGAGATCGTTTGAGTTTGATGCAACAATCTCTAAATTTGTAGACGACATAATCAAGATGTTGAAGTGTCTATAATCATCTGGTAGTGCATCAATTTTCATGTTCCTTATTGTTATTTTATGTTTATTGTAATGCGCTAAGTTATGTTCATCTTCCAAATATGTAATCGACAAAATATTATGTAGTAAAAAGTACGGTGCTAAATAATCTGAGTCACAAAATATACAAATAATACAAATCTAAAACCAAATATCTAAATAGTCCCCCACGAGCTATGTGTGTTGCCTGCGCTGTCAAAATATAAACCTCGCCATCTGGGTTCTGACACGTCGCAAGTGCACGACTATGCAAAGTAGTAAAAAATTATCTAACCACAGAGATTAATGGTTTAAGCACCGAAATCCTTCCTATCGATATACATATAAAGGAATCCATAATATGAGTTTTGGTAAAAAATAACTTAAATAAAAATTACTTATATGAAAATAACTTAATTAAAAAATCACTTAAATCACAATTGAGGCAAACATGACCTAGGGTTATGGTTCTCACTCGAACATATTCATATAATCCGAGTCACTTCTATTACGAGAGTTTTATAGAAAATATGGTTCTCACTTCTATTACTTCTATTATTGAAAATATGTAGAATAAAAATTGGGAATCCTAAACTCACAATTTATAGAAAAACCTAAAACTAGGATAAAATCTCATATTTTAATAGTCATTAAATTAGAATATCTCATATCTAATCATGTCAAAGATCTCAAAACATGAGAATCAATTTAAAAAAGGAAAGGAATAAAAATGTATCTCGTCCATATGCTACGTCTTGTAGCAGACCTCTGCTTTTTGTATGGAAAGTTCAAACATGGAGAAACCTAATGACCTTGCTACTACGGGTGGCCATAGAAACCCTCTGAATTTTATATAAGGATTTTCCAACTTTTGACATTTTTCCACATTTTGACGTTTTTGATAAAAACAATAAAATACGATAAAAACACTTATCAACCCCCTGGAAAAAAAATAAAAACACACAAACAAGGCATAAAATACGATAAATAAAAATAAATTAGACAAAAAACAGTAAAAAAATAAGTAAAAACGAATAGTAAAGACGATACGAAAACCACTTATCAACTTCACCAAACCCATGAGGTTATCCATAATGATTGTTGTCATCTGCAGGCGCTCTGCGTCATTTGCACCATGTGGAGGCGGCACCATGTCATCAGAAGGTACCTCAACATCAGCATGAGAAAAACCATCATGTGAGGATCCAACATGAGAAGGTCCACCATCATTTTCATGCTGCCTAGGTTGGATGATGCGAGGGTGTGATATAGTAAGATACCAATCCAAATACCCATCCACATAGGGGTGTTGAAATCCAAACTAATCCAAATAAAAACTGCAAACCGATTCAAAAGAACCAAAAACCACAAAAAATCGAAAATTATTGGATGTGTTTGGATGCATTTTATAGAAACCGCTCGGTTCGGATCGAATTTCAGATTGATTTTGCAAAACCGGTCTAAACCAAACCGAACCGCATGTATATATTTTTATACTTATTTATTTTTTATTAGTATAATACGTTGTGTTAATTTATTATTATATGATACTTTTTTTTATATAAAATACTATTTATTAGTTTTATTTAATCTATTAATTGTTATTATTTCATTTGTTTCAATCATAATCTATCATTATTATTTTGGAGTATTAACTTTTAATATAACATATGTTATATATTAAATCAAATTTATTATTTATTAGTGTTTTTACAATATTAATAAAATTATAATTTGTAATTTGAATATCCAAAAAATCGATCCAAATCAAACCGCAAGAAATTGAATCGGATCAGATCGGATTTTTTTAACCAATCATCCAAAACCGAACCAAACCCCAAGTAAATTTATCTTTGAATTGGATGACATTTTGCTTCAAAACCGATCCAAACCGAACCGCAAACACCTACATCCACACACTCCGTAGGGAACTAAACCTCCACTGCAAGATGCATACACATATCCGAATTTTTCAAAATGTGCGGTAATGATGCATACAAATATCCTGATTTTTTAAAGTGTGCGGCAAAAATGAATCCATTTTTCTGATTTTTTTGAAATATACTATAAAAATGCATTCATTTTTTCTGGATTTTTTGAAATGTGAGGTAAAAAGGCATCTATTTTTTCGAATTTTTTTGAAAAATTCAAAAATACTGTATGCAGTTTTACCAAATTTTTAAAAGAATCTTGTTGAATGTATGCATTTTTACCACACCTTTCAAAAATTATGAAAAAATTAATGCATTTTTACCGCACATTATGAAAAATCTAAAAGAAATATTTAAAAGTTACTGGTCATCAAACGCAAAATATCCGGTAATGGATGTAAAATGTCCAGAAAATTACGGATATTTTGTAAAAGTTCAAATTTCTCCCATATTTTTTGTGTAAGAAAATATAATTGTATTCAGAGCTAATATGATAAAAACATAAGAGGTGTAGGGATGCGAAATACAATTTGAAGGAGTGGTAGAAAGATTCCTCTCTTCGTACTTATATCATTCAAATTTAAAGCCCAATCCATTTTTTGGCCCATATCATCATTATCTCTATACAAAAAACATAAAATATGTTTTTTTTTCTCAAAAAAGGATAATAAAAAATTAAAACCCTACAACACAGTCGCTCCCTAAACCCTCCTCTCTCCAAGACCTTCCGGCGCTGCAGTTTGCCGGCGACACCAATCTCCGCCGAGCTCTCATTTGCTTCAAACCACCACGTTCTTTGTGAAACTGATTTGATTTGTAAGCATGTTACAGTGACTTTTTTCGATTTTTTATATACCATTTTTTTTCATTCATTCCTACCATTTTATGCTTAATACTTGTCACTTTTTATTGATAATTACGAATATTGCATGAACTTTGAGTAATTTGTCTAATTTTTTCACTAACTGTGTCTTTATAAAAGTGCTGATTATGTAATGTCTTCAACAAAACCTAGTTACTTGTATGAAGTGTATTCTTTTTTTTTTTGTTGCAGTTATTGTTGTTTGCAATTTCGATCATGACTACTTTACTGGAACTCATTAAGGACGCGTCTGTTAATTCTAAATCACTTGATTTGCATTCGGATTATCCGGTTGTTCTCAATCCAGATAAGATTTTGTCTAATTTGAAGTATGAACTTGAAGATGATTCTTCTTCGTACCCTATTAAACCCCTTATTGGATGGAAAATTTCACAAACTGATAGCGAAATCATTGAGATCAACAAAAAATTTATAGAAGAGCTGAAAAAGAAGGTTCAGAGCACCGATAATTTGAAAAGGGATGAGTTTATTGGTAGTTTGATTTCTTATCTGGAAAACATTAGGGGGAAAGTTGGGGTTTTGATTGAGATTGGTGATTCCTCTGGTAGTGCTCATTGCAAGATTTTGATTGGCAAAATTGGATCTTTCATCGGTAAAGATGTTGCTGGTTTGGTTTTGGATGGGTGTATTTCTTTGGAGATATGGGAATTGGTTGAAGCTTTGATTGTTAATGGTGTTGTTGTGAATTCTTGTTATTCAAACCTGGTTGCTAAGTTGGTGGAAAAAAAGAGGTCTGATTTGATCTGTTTGTGTTGTAAGCATGCTTTTGATCTCGGTACATCAGAAATATTCTCCATTTTGAGGTATTTTCTTTCTCCGTCTAAAGATGCTTATGATTCTATGGTATCTATAAAGAAGGAGTGGGAGAACCAAGCATTGTTGGCCATTGAGAAAGCAAGTGACAGCAACCTCAAGCGGAAGAATTTGGTTGTTGCAAAGGAGGCTTCTATTTTATTTATGTTGGCATACGATGGTTTCTCTGCTCCTGAACTTTGTTTGCATTACTTGGTTTCATCACCGAACATCAACAATGCAATATCATCCCCTGCATTCAATAAGTTGAATGGCAAAGAATTGTTGAACTTGATTCGCTATTTAGCAAAATGGTTTAAGAAATATGAGAGATTTCCTCAAGCTCGTCCATGTCCGAAAGCCTCGTCGGTTTTAGATTTGGAGGCTTGCCATTGGATTCCTAAACTTGAAGATGTTATAAAATGCCTTGGTTTTGTGCTCGATGAGAATTTTTCTTCATTGGTGTTACATCCACAGTTTCATGAAGAGTTGAGATCAATTGAAGGACTGGTTAGTTGTTTGACAGCTGAAGCTAAAATTTGTAACATGGTGACTGCTGTAACCGAAAAACTAAAGATCGAAGTAACAAGAGGAAGTAAGTCCCAATGGTTTATTATTGTTTTTGATATAATTAGTGTTTTTGTTAATTACGTACTCTTAGATGGAATAATGGTAATGACCAAACTCATGTCTAACTGCATCCTCTTATTCCACTCATATTACCGTCTTATTACAACAGAAAACTCTCATCTTTTGAACATTAATTGACAGTTTATTTGTAACTGCCACTGTACTATCCTTTATCTAAACCCAAAAAAAATAAAATATCTAGAGGCATTGCTTTTGATGTAGTTACCTACAATTGCCTGTAATGTAGAGGCCTGACTTATAAAGTATCATGTTTTAGGATTTAATCTCTTTATTAACCTTAGTTCCATATTCTCAAATAAGAATCTACTCTGTGTAAATGTATTGGTCGACTTCTTTAATTGTAAGAGGTGCTTTGTCCTAGCACAGTTATTTTTTAACAACTTCTACTAGCACTGGCTCAAGTAGTGGTTCTCACCTTACAATCCAACAATATTCTGTTAAACCTCAACTCTTTTTCTCTTCTCTTTCGGTATCCTCTATTTATCTATGTGTTTATGCTTCAACATACTAATGCAGTTTAGTATTATATTTGCAGGGGACAAATTGATATGAACATTTACTCATTGTACGACTAGTTATTGTATGTCTCAAGACTACAAATTAAATGAAGAGAAAATATCTACGATTGAGGTGGGTGAGAATTTAAGGATTTATGAGCTTAAAGTAATTTTTGTGCTGTGGTGAGTAAGCTAGCTAGTTCTTTAATTCGTTTAGCTTGGAAGTTTATTGTGTAATTCAATGGACCCGAGCGGGTAAACTTGCCACTTATATATGTGGTGATGGGAGAGCTCAATCATGTGTAATAGAACAAATTTTGATGATCTGGTAGTGGTTTGAACCCGAGAAGACCAGAGTGACAGGCTAAACTACATATGTAATCATTCCTGTTGCAATTTTGTTCACTATGACAAAACTGTATTCGTCATTTGTTTCTTCTAGTTTCTTTTTTGATATCTTAATTTTTGGTTGGTATTTACTTGGGATTGTGTTTCTCTGATGATGCCCGGTTATATGCTCATACCTTTATTGGTATTTCCAGTTAACATAGAAAGGTTGAGAGAGTGAATTGAATGTTTAGATTCTTTTTTCAAACACTTGATGCATAATGTTAGAACTGGAAGCAGTTTCTTTGGAACAAAAACTAGGACTGACTTGGCTTTTAACAATAGGATGGTTAGGAAGTTAATTGTTTAAGGGTTTTTGTATTTCTCTTGTATGAAAAAAATTAATTTCTTTTGTAAATTAGCTGACATAAAATGAGTAAACACTGCGTGTAGAACAGGTTTAACCTTCTCTTGATATTCTGATTGCTAGTTTGTCAGACTAGGTCTGCATTTACATCGCCAAGTATGAATCACAACTTTAAGCTACTCAAGAGTGGTAAATCCACAAAGAGCCTCATAGTCTGTCATTGCGGTTTATGATTCCCATCTTTATACACATCAGGATGCAGTTTATGCAGCATCTTAGCCAATTTCTTATCAGGGTGAGCCTGTATAGATAAAGCCTTTCCATCAGACAACATCTTAAATAAGGAAGGTCGATCAGAACCCCATTTCTGAACAACTTTATCACCAAGCAAATCAGGGTTATTAAAAATCCAATCTTTAAGTGTAACACTCATCACCATCATTAGAAACAAGATAAGGGCCTGAATCGTGAGTACCTGTCCAAAGTTCAGCATAAGGTTTCATTGGATCGAATTGAAACTCGGAATTAAGCTCAGAGAGTTTTGCAACATGATCAATCAATATTTGCTTGTGACTTTTGACATACTTTTAGTGAAATATTGTAAATGTGGTCAATAAGTTTATCATTATTGGTAGATTTAACCAGCGGCCCCCCAAATTAAACCGAACTCCCTATAACTTTTCATAATTTTAAAACTGTTTTTGGATGAAAAACACATCAAATTTTTGTATGAAATTTTCGGTAGTTATAATGAAATTTTTCAGTACAGAGTGATATTTTTGATAATGTGCAAACTGGTCTGGAAATTTCAAAGTTTTGTGGTCATACCAAAAATTTCAACCTAAGTGAAATTTCTGGTAGTTGCATTTGTTTGATTTTTTGAATGATCAGGATTTTGTTGACAATTTTGAATGACTGTGATTGCACCGACAGTTTGTGTGATCAATTCTCCGTAGGATAAGAAAGGGGTCGATCGAGTTAGATGTTAAGTTTTGAAGATCCGTTAACGACATAATGGAGATGCTGAAACGTCCTGAAGCGTCTGGTAGTGTTAGGTTTTTCTTATTTATTAACCATATTGTAGTGTTAAGTTTTGTCTGTTTAAGTTATGTAATCCATTGTCGGATGTTAGTTAACGTTCACACTGCAATTTAAGGAAGATTAATAATATTAGTTAATAAAGTGTTATGATGAAGATGTCTGAATAATATACAAATAATACAAAAAATATCAAAATAGGCCCCCTACGGGCTATGTGTGCAGTCAGAGCTAATCCAGTATAAACGTCACCATCTGGGTTTACCAAACCCATGAGATTATCCATAATCACTGCAATCATCTGGAGGCGCTGCTGGTCATCGGCGTGATTTGCTGGTGGTGGGGTGATGCGAGAGTGTGATATAGTAAGGTACCATTTTAAATAACCATCCTTACACCGCGAGGGGTGCTGAACAGTGACAATTCGATCTCTAATAGCACGACTAGAGTTGATGAAGTTACTCTAAAACCACCAATCAATCCCTGAAGTTGGAATATCTAGAACCGGTCGTGGTATACTCTGAACATAACCATACTGTCGCAAACGCCTCTCAGAAAATTGTCTAACAACTATGGTCTCCCAGTGCATATAACCTGAATATAATGACGATTCCTCGAACTCAAGGTGGACTTTATGCTTAGTGTATGGTGTCTAGATGACATCATCTACAGTCAGCACATTGAGCCTCCTCCTATACTCAGCAACACCACCAGGATGCGAGTGTCTCGCCTTGCACCTCTTCTACTGCGAGGTCCCCACCTTGCAATGTTGCACCCTCCTATCACAAATGGTATGGGAATGCTCGTATATCCAACACTGAAATAAATAACTCAGTTGAAGGAGACGTAACCTCCGCGTCAGCACTAAGCAATTAACCCGACTCACCAACAGCAACATCTGATTGTACCACCAAGCAACCTCCTCTAAACCCACATCCTTAACAACCTCCTGAGCAACAACTGGATCAACTACCGACTCAACCACCGACTCACCAACGAAATTAGATACAGGAACATCTGGCAGCATCTCATTTGTAGCCTGCTCTACTGATCGAAATTATGATACTTACATAACTTTTGTTTCTTAATTTACTCTAATGGTGGTACTTTTGCGCCTGGAGGAACAAGCACTTGACCATCTGCAACCAGGACAACGAAAATCTCATCGCACTTGGTCACATCAAAAATGTAAGTTTTCTTAGAAAATTTATCATTTTCTTTTGGTTCTGCATGATTCTTCCCATTTGCAGGTGTAAGTAACTTACACATATATGGGGGACCTGGCTTTAACTCAGCCACGTCGACCTCAGACTCTTCGACATGTTCATATTCGACCTCAGACAATATGTCTTAATCTTGCTTGTCAAGATAAGATATACGCTATTTCTTACCATTTTTCACTATGACCTTCTCGACATTCAATCTCTCGACTTGTCTAACTCTATCTAACAATTGGGACATATCTCTCAGATTTTGAGTGTCTAACTTCTTGCTAATAGAATAATTTAGCCCACCAACAACCATTACGACAACTTCATGTTCAGGCACCTGGGTGAAGCACATTCTTTTCAATAAACGAAATCGATTTATAATCCTCAATTGACTTAGCGAACTTTCACTTGACACTAGATATCTCCTTCAAACTAATCTTAGATTGCCCCATGTAAAACTGCTCATGAAACAACCCCTCCAAACGCGCCTAATCATGGATTGAATGAGGAGATAAGGTAGTAAACCATGTGAACACATTCTTTATTAGATAACTAGGGAAGCATCTCATCCTCAGGTTCTTATTGTTAGCAATGTCACCTTCCTCCGTCAGGTAACGAGCAATTTATTTGACATTAGATTCATTGGCGTTGTAACACCTTTTCTACCCCACGAGTATTATGACAAAATAACAGAATTTATCAGAGTAAAATTTTAAACACCATAAAAATCACCTCAAAGGGCGTACATTTCTCAATAAATTCAAATCAAGGTCAATGCTTCGTAAGCAACAAGTTTTCTCAAAATTACTCAAAAGTGCTCAAATGGAAGCGGAACTCAAAAAGGCAAAAATCCAAAGTTTTCCCTTTACCGCAAGGAAATCAACATAACAAAAACTCAATAAAATAGTTTGAATAAAAGACCCCAACCGAATGTTACACTATCAGAGCAAGACCCTCTAAATCAACCACAATGGCCAACGACCCAAAAACTTCAAAAATCCTCGACGGCATCCACGGCTAAACCTGGTCATCTGCACGTTACCCACGTGGAGGAAACATTCAAACAGGCAGGGTGAGTAAAGTGATTCATAATAATCAATATACAAATTAATATATAAAACAACGTCATTTTCATATTATGCATCATCATATTCATAAATGGGCATCAAAGGCCACAACATCATAAATTACTCAAGATTGCCTCATAGGGTCATCAAGGAACATCAAAGGGCATAATATCATAATTACACCAAATTATATCATAAATGCAAATGCAACAAGACTCATGCATGTGGTACTAATCATCACAACTCGATAGATACTGGGCCATCAACCCTCCATAGATCCCCATCAATATGATTGATTTTATACAAGAACCGGAGCACATCAAAATACCTCACATCCGCACAATGGGACTGAAGCCAAAGAAATCAAGGCCCTGAACCGAAGTCCGGATGCACATGAATGCATGATACACAGGTCAATAATCATCCTCATAATAACATCATAGGTGCATCATCATTCATCAAAATCATCATCATAAATCATGTAATCATAGAATCATCAAAAAATCATGAAAATATCATTATAGCTCATCATCATTACTCATAGGAATCATCATTATACAATCATGTATTAATCTCATCGGAATCATAGTTATACTCATGGTAATTCATCATACAATCACGTATTTAATCTCATAAAAATACTAGACAATCAATTATCTTATTTATACTATGTTATATCCCTGTTCATAAGCTTTCCAACGCTTCGAACGGGGGCCAAAACGGACTTACGGATCAAAAGTTATGTCCAAAACGATTTCGATCGAAAACATGAACAATCATGACGGACAACATGCAATTTTCTGAGTTTTTCACTGTTGGAGGCCTTCCGGACCTCCGATTTCGATTTCGTAAAAACCCAAACTCTCAGAAAGTTATAACCCATTCAACACTGTGATTATCTCAAGTAAATTTACAATTTTAACACAATTAAACCATCTAATCATTGTTTTAAGATTATGTCTAAAACCTTTAAAATTAAGGGATATAGGTTCAATCCCATATCATATTTATGCATATAATTCCCATAATTTCTTACAAATATTCC